TCTTAATCTTCAGGTTTGTCAGGACTGGCTGTTTTCCAGTTAATGATTCTCCTTCTAACACCAAGTAAATTAATCCTGTAGGAACACACCTATGAAAAGGACATGGATAGGAAGCCTGCACTGTCTTTATGTGACTCAACATGTTTGAAAACACTGTCCTGATGGTCTAGCTGGTTTGGACAGACACCACCAAACACCAGCATCCCCCTTCACGAGTTTCCATGGCTTTGGACATGCTAGTGATGCTGGCTGCAGAGTTGCTTCTTCTTCCACTCATTCATTATCATGCTTGTGCCCTGAATTCTGCCACAGGCTACCTCTTTTCCTCTTTGTCTCACTCTAGAAAAGACGTACCTGCTTCTGCTCTATTTTATGACACTGTAAATCAGAAATTAAGCATCCCAGAGACTTCCTCCACTCCTCTGTGCTGCTGAGTGACCAATCTCTAGAGTAGCGATATTTCCTGGTTTAGTTCATGCCTTCTCTACAGACACTACCAGGCAGGAAGCTAATGATGGCTTTTGTCTGTTTCTGTATTTGTAACAGAAATGGAATTGAGATTTGGACTTGTTATTTCAAGCAACTCATGCTAACGACCAGCCATTAGATGGTACTAACCATTCACTGATCCTTCATAGGGCCCCCAAGAATGGTGTGTTAATCCAGACGGAGTAATTTAGGGCCTCCTTAGCTCTAGAGAGGTCCTGAGCATGGCAGGTGCCTGCATGATGAAGACAGTATATTACACGTGCATGAAATCCAGACATGCATCTGGAGAGGCAGGTCTCACTGGCCATGCACAATGGGATGGTGAGCTGCGGGGCTCTGCTCCTCTTCAATGTCACCCTGATCTTTAGATTAACTTCAGACCTGAAGCATGAATTTTACTTTCAGAAGTGTTACCATTAATTGTGATGACTCTAGAAATCCTTAACAACCACATGGCTTTACAGTCCTTTATTAAACTTACTCAAGCTTTTTGTCCTGATACTGTCCTGCAACAAGGAGCTCCGCAGCCTTATGATATATCACATGGAAATGCATGTCCTAATATCCATTGTAAATTGTCTTCCCTTCCAATTTCCTTGAAGGTCTTCATGTTCTCATATTAATGAGTTGGTGTCCTTAAATTCTGGAGGAGACTTTAGTGGGAAGAATAGTCTATTTCCAAACATTCCTATCGAATATCAAGCTAAATCCAGGCTAGCAGCCTGCAGGCAAAAGAGTCCACAGTCTGTTCTCTCTGATCCTTCTTGGCCAACCGATCCTATCTGCACTGACTTTTCAAATCTCCATCTTTACAGTATTTTTCCCCAGAACAGAGAAATAAAGAAATGCAGACAGAAGCTTACAGGTAAGAAAATATGTACGCACGATCTAACTGACAATCTAACAAGCAATACTTGGGACACATCGATTTCCAAATAATCTCAGTTTTATTTAAGAATGCTTTTCTATTTATTTTCAGCACAGCTAGCACCAACCCTGAGCTCTTAAACCCCATTGTACTGTTAACTCCTTGTGACATGGACGAACAGTTTATCTGCCGATGTGAAAGGACTTTTCACCCATGTCTTTTCCTGCTACTCTCCATGACTTGCTTTCAGCTTGGATCCGTACCAAGCGCTGTGAAACATTTGTGAGAGCGGAGCTCATCTTAGTTTCTATCTCTTTGCAGAACATTGTCAGAGATACAGGAAAGCAGACAAAATTCTGAAAACACTGAGCATTAACCAAAACAGAAGAAAATACTCAAGCATCTTTCTTTCTCCCTTTCTCCCCAGAGCTTTGCCATTCAATCCAGGGTCTCAGAATTGGCTGACACAATGGTGCAGGATGCTCACGCAGTGAAACCTTTGAGAATGCTGAGCATGCCCCCGAAAGGTGATGCTATTATCAAGCTCAGAGTTCAGCCCATCAGCTTTCACGATGTTAAGACCTCATTTTCAATAAAAGCAGTTGCCTCTTTCAACTGTCAGACCTGAGAAGAGCTTGCTCCTCATGCCCTCAAAATGGGAGCCCAGATGCTGTGATCACCTGGACATAAGATCCACTTTTTCTCATCTGCATCCCTGGTCTCTCTCGAGTATCATGCAAGGATCAGCACAGTTTCACAATGAGCTTTACTCCTTCCTACAGTCCTCAGTATATTTTTAAATGAAAGAATCATCTTACCCATAAGAGCCACAAACAAACATGAGGAACTTAAGATATAAGCAATTCAGTAGCCTGAAGTATCATGCATGTTGGGCAATCATAAATTTAAACTGAAAATCCCTACCGACTTTTGCTTTGCATTAGATATTAAATAAAACCTACTTGCGAAGCAGGATTAGTAACAAACCTTTTTGGTTGTTGTATTTTTCTGTTTTTTTGAAATCAAAACAGGATTAAAACATCTTTTGGAGACTCGCTGTCATTTCATCTGGGTAAATAAGCTTAGAGCGTCTAACAGTCAATTTATAATGAAGGCTTTTGTTCTTGGTACTGCGATGCAGCCCTGCAAATTTGCCCACAGCTGCAGCAGTTTCAGATGTTTTTGACAGGTAAATAAAACACTGTTTATATCTGTCATTGTTATTAATCTGCAGAGTAAAGAACTAGCAATTATATTTTGTTTCCAAGTGGATAAATTTTCATTATGATCTTGGCAGGGATGGTATAGAACAATGTGCATCTATGACTTTTACGGTTGTGAGAGTCCAAAACATGAAGGGTCTTTGCTCAGCTGTGAGTTGGAAAATGAATGGGAAATGAAGGCTAAACCAGTAATAATGACCATAATAAAAAAGAACAAGGAATTTGGGATTTAGACCCGTTGGAGTTTTATTGACGTAAAGGCCAGATAAACCAAACTGCAGGTCTTGACATCTGCTGCACTGATTCAGCTCTCAGTTATTCTGAACTGTACTTCTAGGAAGCTATGTCAGGGTTTGGCTGTGCTTTAAAACCCCACAATTTGGGCCTCCATAATGACTTGTGCTTCCCAGCTGCTGCAGGGCAAAGGATTTCAGATACTCCTCCAGCCATGTTAAGTGGGGAAAAAATTATTTGTGGAATAAGGTACTGCTCAAGGATGAGTGGCAGAATCCAGCTGTAAGTGTCTTACTATATTGCTCAGAAACTGTGAGAAGCAAGAAAGAGAAATCCTGGTGAAACTCAATTAGATGCCAGTCACGTCTGCTCAGCTTCTCACTCAGGTAGGCTGGCAGATGGTCAGCAAATAGTCTCACTTTTACAATGCAACCTACACAGGTTTTCAGTGTGAAAATTAGTATCCAATTATTTTTGAGCATTAATGTTCTCCAAGGAAGCAAGTTACCTCTATTTTAATTCTGCTTAGGCTCTATTTGCTCAGACACGTAAGCCAATCATGCAGGCACTACGTCTCGTGTACACAGGCAGAATGGCAAGCCAGGGAAGAGTACTAGAAATGTGGAATAATGCAAATTCCCTGGGAGTGAGTTGCATGGCTTCCAACTTTTAGAAGAGATGGGGAGACAGTCAAGTGAGGAAAGCATACAGCATCTCCAAAAAAGAGTGATTTCCCCCATCCCCATCTAAAAGCCTATGGTGAAAATTGTGTCTCACAGATATCAGGCAGCAGCGTACTAGAGAAGCCTACAGTCCATTGAGCACCGAGTTCTGATCTATGAGACCCTTGGTATGACACATCCTGCAGGGCTGTGGATATTTGGATGAGTTGGTGGCAGGCCCTGCTTCTCCTAAAGAATGGGAGCCCATTCCCCACCTCCCTGCCCCCATCACCACCATCCTTGGACCAACAGAAGGGAAGGCATGATCACTGCATTACAGATGTGGGCAGCCCTGGGACAGGCAGGACATGTGCCAGAGCACGGCCACTCTCACATGAGCACTGGCTTTCCTTAAGCAGAGCGCATAAGCCCATGGAGGGGAAACAAGACATGGAGCAAAACCTGTTTTGCTCAAGATTTCAACATATCATTTTACGTGCCAGAATCTGTGCCTAAAATGGAAATGGGTATCAGCCAAGTCGAACCTCGTAACCCTTTCTCGTGCAAGGATCCCTTATTATCACAGTAACAGGACTATCCCGAGTAATAAATGTTATCTGCATATCTGGGTGTGATCCCACAAGCAGAGGTCTGCAGCCTTCCCTGCCGCCTGCAGCTGTGCACATTAGGTACAAACGTTGCTGTGTATATCACTGTAAGGAAGTCGCCAGCCTGAAACTGCTTTTAGTTGTAATTAAATAAGGAGAATAATCCCCCAGGGTGGCACCTTATGTTCTAGTGAGGTTGTATTTGTTTCATTCTATGTTCTAGTGAGGTTGTATTTGTTTCATTCTCCTGTGTGATGAAGGGAAACTTCACTGGCCCAATCTCAGTTGTACCAAAGCGCATCTCAAGGCTGCAGATTCAGCAGGTACAATTGTAGCCAGGGTTTCTCCTCCTCCAGCTAGTGCAACTGGGAGCATGGGAGCAGTGGCAAACCTGCAGAGCTCCTACCAGCTGTCCCCCGGGGAACCACCGATGAGGTGGGGCTGCCTCCTGCCACGTGTTTATACAGACCGAAGTCGTATTTTTCAAAGCGAGCAGCACCATCAAACACATCCCTTGCATCACTTCTGCGATCACCGCAACCGGGTGGGTACCCACGAGGCAACGAAAAGCCCCCGTCGCTGAGACGCGCTCCGCTCCGTGCAGGAGCCGGCGAGTCCCTGCCGTGCCACGGCTTCACGGCTCCGAGGCCGGGCATGGGCGCCCGGGGCAAGGCTGCGGGGCAGCGGGGAGGAGCGGAGCGGACTCCCACCCCGCCTTTCCGCCGAGGCGCAAAATCCCGGAGCCCAGTGCCTGCGCAGAGGGCAGAGCCCCTCCGGGTTTTGGAGTCCCGCTCCGGGCAGCGGGGAGGCAGACCCCCCCCGGGCGCAGCAGGCCCCAGCTCCCGCCGGTTGGAGCGTGGCTACCACCGGGCCAGCCGGGCTCCCGTCGCCCCCCCCCCCCCTCCCGCGGGCTCACCTGCTCGGGCCCCTGGAAGCAGATCCTGCAGAGCGGGGTGCGGATGCCGCTGTCGACGCTGCTGCCCAGCGAGTAGCGGTCCTCGGCCTTGCCCTTGCCGAAGTCATCCGAGGAGGCGCTGCTGGGCAGGGAGGCGGGCGGCTCCCCGGCGGGGCTGCCCCACTCCTCGGCGGCCGGGCTGCCCGCTCCGCCGCCGCCGCCGCCGCCGCCGCCGCCTCCCGCCGCCGCCCGCCAGCCGGCCCCGCGCCCCCCGGGCGGCGCGGCCCCCGCCGGGCCGCCCCCCGCCGCCTCTGCGCCGCCGGGCATGGGGAGCGGCGGCGGCGGGGAGGGCGGCGGCGGCGGCGCGGGGGGTCTCCGCAGGAGGAAGACCTTCAGGTCATTGAAGAGCATGCGGCAGCGGCACTTGAGGAGGCCTTGGTTTCGCAACATCTGTCTCGGACGGAGGAGCCCGCAGCAGCAGTAGCAGAAGATGACCGCGCCGGGTGGTATTAACATGTGCCTTTCCTTGGCAGGCGGGGACGGGGTGGGAAAGAAAAGGGCAGGAGCCGGGCGCCCCGCGGCCGGGGGGGCTCCGCTGCGGCCTCAGTGCCTGGGGGGGAGGCTGCGCTGGCCGGCGGGGAAAGGACAAAAGCAGAGCCAGAGGGCTAGGAGGTGAAGGCTCCGGCAGCCCGCTGAAATCCGGCGAGGATGACAATTTAAAAAAAAAAAAAAAAAAAAAAAACAACACCAAAAAAAAAAAAAAAAAAGAAAAAAGAAAAAAACGACTCTGCGCTCCTGGGGGATTCTTAACCCCCCTCCGCAAGTTTGTTTAGAAATCAGCGGGAGGAGGAAATCTCCCACGCCCAAGGGTCCGGGGGCGCGGGCGGCGGGCTCGAGAGAAAGCCCCTGATCGGCTTTCACAACTCCTAAGCCTGTAAAAAAGAAGGGTCCACGTCTCTGGTGGGTGTGGGGATGAGGGAGAATATGGTTCTCTCGACAGTATTTGGCATCTCAAGTAATTTTCCTTTTTCTTCTATTTTTTAATAATTTTTTTTTTTTTCAGTTAAAAAATAAAACCCGATCACACAAGACCCGGTGTGCACCCCCAGACAAAATAGCAGCCGGTCTGGCTATCAAAATGCAAAATTGGTAGCTGTTGTTATTATCAAAATTGCCTCTTTGACAAAAAAGACCTTCACATTGTTTGTGGGAAAACACCCTACGTTTCCAACACTGTACTCCCAGGTGGCTTCAGATTTTAGCGTTGCCTTTAAAATATTTCATTGTATATATTAAAAGTCCTGAAAGAAATAATTATCATTCAATGAGCTTAATCCCAGGTGTACTGAGATAAATATATTTTATATATATAATATATATATAATATATCATATATATTTTATATATATATTTATATATTCTGACCTTCTCTATTCCAGCAGCTGTCTGGACCACACCAAAAAAATCAGAGCGAAATTGGTGAGGGAAGGCGGCTGTATTATTCCCTAAACTGTTACCATCCTGGACCAAAAAAACCCCGTCGAAATTGGATCTATTCTTCGCATGTAATTGACCGGGGAAACGTGGATCTTACATGGTCACGTTTCCTTTCCTTCTTTCACAAAACAGGAACGTCATCAAACGCACTGGCAGCTTGTACAGACCATTGTGGATGGCGAGGCGGCCAGGGCTCTATCAGCAATTGCAGGGACCTCCTTTTGATGCATTGGACGAGGCTCCTTCTTTCTCTCCACAACCGTCCCCACCTTCATTTTCCTCCCCTTCTGTCCTCCTCCTCCTCTGACTGTTGTTCTCTCTCACAGGCATTGACATTCAACCATCGCAAGTCTGTCGCACTCTCGCTGGCAGGAAAAAAAAAAAAAAAAATCGTAGCAGATAATTCTCTTCTTCCTGCTAAAAGGCTCGGATGGAGCACAATGCGCCAGACACACGGGGCAGCATGGTTTATTCTTCATGCGGCTCCTACCGCTTTGGCAACATCGAGCTGGTGTGTGCCTGTGTGCCTTTCTCCCTCAGCAGCAGCCTCCTCTCCTCTCTCCCATCCGGCTTGCCGTGATGATGTTGCTGTTGCTATCTCCCTTGGATGCAATGGGGAAGGCAGATTGTTTGCAGTGCAAGCGGGGATTTGCAGGAAGGGAGGGGTGTAACGTGGCCGCGCTCTCCTCCCTCCCCCAGCTTTAAAAAAAAAAAAAAAAAAAAAAAAAAGGAAGCCAAAAAAAAAAAAAAAAGAAGCAAAAAGGCGGGGGGGAGGTGGGGGGAGGTGGGGGGGGAAATCAAAGGGAGAAATGGGGCCCTCCCCGAGCTTTGATGCCCCGGGCTGCCGGCTGCCTGCAAGAGCCCACGCCGGGGAGGCAGGGAGGCGGGGCGGGGAAGGGGCTGGGCGGCCGCTGCGGCTTCAGCACCACGAGCCGCGGACAGCTCCGCCAGGCGCGGGCGGGGCGCGGCGGCTCCGCGCCGCTCCGCGCTGCGCTGCGCCGCGCTGCGCGCCCCCGGGCACGGCGCCCCCCCACCCCCACCCCAGCGCAGCCCCGCGCAGCCCCGCGCAGCCCCAGCGCAGCCCCAGCGCAGCCCCGCGCAGCCCCGCGCAGCCCCGAGCAGCCCCAGCGCAGCCCCGCGCAGCCCCAGCGCAGCCCCAGCGCAGCCTCAGCGCAGCCCCGCGCAGCCCCGCGCAGCCCCGCGCAGCCCCAGCGCAGCCCCAGCGCAGCCCCGCGCAGCCCCAGCGCAGCCCCAGCGCAGCCCCGCGCAGCCCCAGCGCAGCCCCCGCGCAGCCCCAGCGCAGCCCCGCTCAGCCCCAGCGCAGCCCCAGCGCAGCCCCAGCGCAGCCCCGCGCAGCCCCAGCGCAGCCCCAGCGCAGCCCCAGCGCAGCCCCGCTCAGCCCCAGCGCAGCCCCAGCGCAGCCCCAGCGCAGCCCCGCGCAGCCCCAGCGCAGCCCCAGCGCAGCCCCGCCGAGCGCGGGCGCGGCAGGAGGCGGCCCCGCCGCCGCGGGGGAGCGGGCGGGCAGCGGGGCTCCGCACCCGGCCGACGGCGAGCCCGCTGCGCTCCGCCGTGCTGCCGGGCCGGTTGGCACCTCCCGCCCGCCCGCCGCTGCGGGGACCTGCGAAATAAGGAAACTTTCCGGGGCGGGTGGCAGCGATCGAGTGTTTGGCGATTCCTCAGGCAACGGTGCCTGCTTTACAGGTTCCCATCAGGAAACCGAAGCCCCACTAACAAACTTTTCCCTAGCAGATTAATTAGTTGCAGAGGATTTCCTGGTTTAATAGCTATGATAATCAATATTTTTTTCATTTCACTCCAGCAGCGTTTGCTCACTGATAGATTTGTTTAGTTTCAGTAGCATATATTTCAGTAGAAATATGGGTTCCTTGTAGCCCAATGAAGGGTAAATATGACTGAACACTATTGCTTAATTAGAGATTTGCTGAAAGTAACCAATGGCACTCGAAGCTGATAGTTTTTACTCTCTTCAGCCAATCTGAAATTTTTAAGTAGCTGCTGCCGGAGTCCATTATTTTTCCTCTGCAAACATCAGCAGAGGTGGCTTTCTCCACATTGTCCCGCTATGTGTGTCCATTCAGCCCCACCCAGCCTCCAAATACAAGAGGAAAATTAACTCTCCACTGGGACTTTTTCTTTGCTGTCCCAGCTGGAACAGCTGACAGAGGTGCTGGGTTTGATGTGAACTAAAAGTATGAATGACAAAGATGATCTGAAGGCTTCTAGTCTAATGCAATCCGGCTAATGTCAGTGCAGTGTCTCAGCTCAAGGACCAGTGAACACCCACCATCTGGTGATGTGGACACACCTTTTGGTGACATAGAGCTGGGCCTGGGTCCGACATCATGTCAATGCCATTGAAATTTCAGGCTCCTTAACTTGGTTTCTTCATAGGGTTTCCTCAAATTCCTGCTTCAGTCGAATACAGCATGCACCAACGCCCAGGCTGGGTCCTCTAGCCAGTCTTCTGCATGAGGTCTTCACTGGTAGCAACCCAGGAGTTACAGCTGACAGACAATCCAATGTCACTCAAAAGTTGTGCCGGGCCCCAGACAACAATTTGAAATTGTCTCCCTTAGAATAAGACGTGACATGCATAAACCACTGTGCCACGATCAGCAGAGGAATCTGTGTTGTTACCTAATTAAAAAGGGAGCAAAACTGATTATTCGCTACAGGAAAATGAAACCAGCACATGCAATTAATTTCCAGCAAATAAATTACACATCGGGATGCTCTGAAGCTAAAACATTCATCACTGGAGCCTGCCATTTCTTAGGAAAGCTGGGCAGATTTGCCAGTGTGGCTCTCCACAACATATTTAAGGCTTCTCAGAATTTCACGTGTCTAATGGGGTCATTAGAGAAATAATAACGGAAAGAGCATTTTAGGGACTTCCTGAGCATGAGACAGGCTGGCTAGAGGCTGAGTCTCTGTGCCCATGCTCCAGGATGGCTTCCCACCCCCACTGCTTTTTATTGCTCTCATCTTCTTGTCTTGATGTCGCCAACATTTTTAGAATGGATCCATCAATAACAGAATTGGAGAAAAATATATTGTTGGCATCTTTTGCTTGTGTAAAGCATCTTTCATCCTTCCCTCCTGCCCATGCCTGGTTTCACAGAAAGGATATGCTCGGGCTAGAGAAGATCTTTGTATTACACTCTGGGTTCTAATGTACAGGCTGTGTGCCCAGAGAGTTGAATGGCTGATAAATGTGACAAAATAAATAAAACAAATAATAAATTGGAGGTGCTCCATAGGCTTTCCAGAGGTGAGTGGGTACTATTATTCCTCTTTTGGTAAATGGGACAGCAGCCAATGTTTTCACACTTGGATGCTGCATTCAGGTCCCTTGGTATGGACCAAGGTACCTTGCTTAAAATGCTCACACTAGAATGAGCTTGCACAAGACACTTTGGTGAGATCCCAGCAAGAACAGGGGGGCTCTCAGGAGGCCAGTGCAGACTTCCTAGTTTTGTTCTGCAGGAAGCAATGTGCAGCAAATGATGGGCAACACCTCCTTTTGAAGAAGGGCCCGTCTCTGGGAGTTCTGATGCTGTGTCTCATGAGCCTGCTAATAGTCATGAGGCTAATATAGGGAGGAAACATATGGGAGGCATCAGCTCTGGCACATACTACCCCCCCCTGCCCTCCTCAGGTACAGAAAGAGGAAGAAAAAACCATCAGGTGAGAGTGGAGAACTGGTTTGTCTTGATTGGTTACATCTGAGCTACTGACTAGGAAATCAGGAGAGTTGCCCAGGCATCTCAGCACAGACCTGCATGCCCTGTTTGTTATAGATCCTGCATCAGGATGGATTCAGGTGTCAGGCTGCAGGTTGGTCTCACGGCAGATATTTTAACTCTGGTCTTCTAGAGAAGAGTGTGGGCCCACTGGTCCTTAGCTACCACCTCAACAAGGAGGAAGAAACTATTGCTGTTTATGTGCCTCCTCTTCACCTCTCTGCACAAGCCATCACTCAGTGCAGAGTGGGTGGAGGAAGGAAAAGAGAGGATGGCCAGAGCTGCAGTGATACTTGATCTGCCTGTGTGGAAGTCTGGTATAAGTCATACCATAATTTTTTTTTTTTTTTTTTTTTAATTTTGTTAGGTCATAGATTTTAAAAATGGCAGAGATAGTGAGAGGGCAAATGTAAGCAGGAAAGCTCTGCGTGGACTGCAGCCGAACAGTTTGAACACAGCGTATCGGTCATTGTGCATGAGTATGTGAGAGACAGATAATATAAATGCTGATGTGGAGAGCCAGGACCAGAGAGCTAGAAAACTGCCAGATAAACATCCCTTTGTGTTTTCCATCTCTCAGGAAGTAAACAGTCACCTAAGCCCATTTTCATGCCCACCTACTCGGTCAATAGCTGCACTGAGCCTCCTGCTCTACTTACAGTTCCTTAATGCTGCAGAGGAGCTTTGATTGCCATGGCATGGGCCCTATCCCTCTGGCAAACCATTACTTAAAACCAACCCATCGAAGGTTCCTACTGATCTCTCAGTGATGGGGAGCTGGTCATCAGCTGAGTACCCTCTGATTACTTGTCACAGCCAGACTTCCTGGTTCTTCTTCCTGGATGGAGATATTAAATAAATCTCAAGTGATGTAATTACCATAACTCAGTTGATAAAGCTTGTGGGCAGACACAGCCGGGGGCTGGAGGGAGCTCTGTCACATTTTCTTTGGTCTTTCTTTCTGGGCAGTTGCAAATGTACTGATGCAAAGGCGGCTGCTGCTGGGAAGCTGGGCTCAGCAGGTGGGGGTTATGCATCCTCCAAGCATCCAGAAATAATTCATGTATTGATTGGAATGATCTTCTCAAAGGAGATCAGAAATAATCTCTAGAGCACTATCCCTTGGTATATCTGCTGCCTTGGGCTGGAGCAAAAAGCACGGTACTCTGCACACCGGGAGTCTCTGCACTATTGCTTTCTCCCCAAGCAGGGACTAAACTTCCACTGGCTCTCTTCCTGAGAGGATCATGGTCTGCCTCTGAGTTGATACAGAGCAAATTTTTCTAATTCCATGTCATCTTGTTCTCTGCTGAGGGAAAAGAAGGAATTGTTCTTTCTCAAAAAATCAGGCATGTCCCACCACAGGACCCCAAGCAAAGAAGTACAACTGCACATCTCTTACCTTGGGTTTAGGAGGAAATCCAGGTCTTTGTTTTATTGAGCTTTCTCTACAAGCAGTCTTGAGGCCAGTCAATGTGCAGGAGTATGTGAAAGAGGATACAATTGCTGAGGAGGACAGCCCCCACCTTTCCTCCTTTAGGATTTGGATTTCAAATTCAAACTTGCAAAGCCACAGCACTTCTCTTCAGGACCAGACAACCTCAGACATAGAGCTTTCCTGGTGACGAGTCCTACACTAACTCCTACAAAAGGAATTCCTTGTCCCCTTGGGTGACTAGTCAGAACTGTGACTTGAATAGAGCAGCTGCAATAGATGGTGCATTTCAGGATATCTTCAGAAGGCATTTAGCCAAACGCTGAGTGGTTTTAACTATCTAGGAATGTAGTAATTGTCATGAAATCCCAAATCTAAAAGGACCTGGAATTTAGACGTTAAAAAAAAAAATAAGAGAGACAGTATATAATCACAGGTCCCTTGAATATTTCCACTACTCTCCCGAGTCGAATCAAATTTATTTCAAGTCTCTA